TGATAACACAGCTACCTAACTCCCAAGGCTACGATGCTGTCTTGGTTTGCACAGACCTGTATGGAAAACAAATTCATGCTATTCCTTGCACCAGCTCCATCACAGCTGAAGGCGTTGCCGATATTTACTACCGAGAGATCTTCCGTCTCCATGGTCTTCCTCTTCACTTTAAATCCGACCGCGGACCCCAGTTTGCAGCTAAACTCATGCGATCCCTTCTCGCTAGGCTAGGAATTAAATCAGATCTAACCTCCGGATACCGTCCTCAGTCTAATGGCCAAACCGAACGAGCAAATCAGGAAGTAGAGAAATACATCCGCCTCTATGTAGGACGACGACAAGACGACTGGGCAGAGCACCTTCCCATGGCGGAGTTTGTGATTAACTCACGGACTCATTCTGCGCTAGGCATGTCCCCGTTCGAGCTAACCTACGGCTATCTTCCCCTGTTCAATATCCCAGTGGGCCAACGCAGCGGCATTCCAGCTGTGGATGACCGTATACGGATTCTCCGAGAAGCGCGACAAGATGCCGGAGCTGCCTTACACCTAGGAAAGAAACAACAGAAGGAGGGATACGAACGCGGGAAGCGGAAAGCTCATCAATTTAAAGTCGGAGACCTAGTCTGGCTCAGTGCAGAGGACATTAACCTTCAGCTTTCCAGTGAAAAGTTAGGAGATCGACAGCTTGGCCCTTATCGCATTCTGGAGAAAATTGGCCCTTTAGACTACCGCCTTGACCTTCCCCTATCCCTAGATCGCCTCCATCCCGTCTTCCATGTCGATAAACTATACCCCTGGAAAGGTAACTCCATTAATGGCGAAATACCAACACCACCAGAGCCGGTATACTTAGAGGATGAAGACGAACCGGAATATGAAGTAGAGGAGATCTTAGACAGCCGGGTTCGATGGAAGAAGTTGGAATATTTGGTTAAGTGGAAAGGTTACGACGCAGGGCACAACTCTTGGGAACCCGCAGCCAACCTCAGTCGAGCACCAAAAATTGTTCGGGCCTTTCATAAAAAACACCCAACAGCGGCAAAGCCTTGACCATCGAGGGCAATGGTCATAAGGAGGGGAGTAATGTCATAAAGTACGCAGCCCCTATCATTTTCCTTTTCTCACCGTCTCGACGCCTTTACTTGTACGATACATCATCCCATCACTGTCAAACCCCCATCGATTACTGATCCATCGATTACTGATCCACCTGACCCATCTTCTCCTTCTACTGGCTTCCGCCACCTTCCTTGTTCCTAAACTGTACAGTATTACATCGTTGTTTCTCGCAGACCGGATTATGTATATATAGCCAACCCTCCATAGCCTGGTCCCTTATCTTGACCTCTCTGTCATTATCTGGGACCAGGTATGTGCTTACTTATTATTACCTATGACTACGATACTCAATATATCTCTGTCATTATCTGGGACCAGCTTGCCGCCGTTCTGCTTAGTCGCTCCGCCTTGTTGCCTTGTCCAGTTGCTCCGCCTCACCGTTCTGCTTAGTTGCTCCGCTTTCCCGCTCCGTTAGTCACTCCGCCTCTGCCGCTTCGTGACAGAGAGCTTCTCAGCAGCGACCTTCCACTCCCGGGTGGCACCTTGAAGGTCTTCCTGCAACTTCCGGAAACGCTCCAAGAGACTCTGGAAAGAGAGTTAAGCAAGGAAGAAAATTAGAGGAAGACAAAAGACTCACTTGACCAGAAGCCCCCGGCAGGGCCTCATCCAATGCACGGAATTGATCCAGCACACCACGGTACTCCACCTCTTGTTCACGGACCTCACGATTAGAAGACCACAATTGTTCCACCTCCCGTTGTTGAGATTCGGGGGCATGCGAAGTGTCCCGAAGAGCGGAGGTAAGGGAGGAATTCTCCCGCTGCGAGTCCACAAGTTGAGACTCCAACTCACGAACGCGAGCTGCCAGACGCTGATTCTCAGCACGATAGGGGTGAGCGGTGAAAGTACGGGGTACCAAGGCAGGGCGAGGAGTAGGAGGCATAGGGGAAGAAAGGAGGTCTTGTCCGGCACCCTTTATAGGCGTTCGAGCAGAAGGGGAAGAACCGGCTTGTTGAACCAAACCAGAATGCAACTCCGCCACAGTCGCCAAACAAACCAAATCGCTGGGACCCTGCATTGGCAGGTCCCTGTTGAGTACCCCCATTAGGGAAGGGGAGGCAGGAGGGGGAACAGGAAGGGAGGTAGGAGCCACCGAGCGAACAGGCGGAACCACCAACCGAACGCGACGGAAAGGCTCTGCATTCACCTCTACTGCAGGGGACTTACGACGAGAACACTTTTTGGGAGCATCCGACCGAATCTTCTTGCTGGAGGGACCAGCCACAGGCATAGGGGAACGATTGCGCTTACGTTTAGCTGCAACAGCTGCTTCACTCTGTTGCAAGGTGAGAAATTGCTGCAACTCTTGCTGGTCAGCATCGACCGCGTCCTGCTTGTCCAACATATTCAGCTTGAGAAGGATGGAGGTGGAGGAGGTACGCGCATGAAGCGCAGAGTCGTATTCGCGCCAGGCAGTCAATGGAATACCCCAAGTCGATTTATGGGCAGGAGTTCCGTGGAGCTCTAAGAATCTTCGGCTGTAGGCAAGATCTTGATTACAGCGACGGGCGAAATATCTGTATCAAAGGATCTTCCCCAGACTGCAAGTCTTCTTGGACGAGCAGTTCGTACACCGAGGGGAGCTTGGCAACACCTTACATTTCCCTGGGGTCTTCAGGCAATTGGTACAGGGAGATGCTACCTCCGCTAAAATAGGCCATAACGGGTCATCCTGGCAGTAAGCCGACAGTGATTTGCCAGTGTTGAAGACCGTCTCGAACAGTTGAAGCTGCGGACGAGACGGCGACTCGATCGTAAAAGCTAGCTGATCAGCCTCGACCTCCCCATCGGATTCAGGAGCCGGGGAAGGTACCTCTCCCAAAGCGGTAAGGGTGGGTAACAAAGGAGATGGTGTGCGTGAAAGAGGTCGAGTAGGGGTAGGAGACATCGCAGTTAGAAGAGTTTGGACTCGTAAGAACTGAGGCGGTGGAAGAAAGGCAGAAGCAAGGATCTGACAGACTTCAACAAGAAAATTTTCGGGTACCACGTGAATGTCAGGTGACTGCCCAGAAAAACGCGCCTACCCATCGCGAGGGCGCGAAGGGGTTACAAGGGGGGGTAATGTCATGCCCTGGCTACAACCAGACCAGTCCCAGTACCCGCCACACGTTGCCATACGTCCTACCCACCTCCTGTATGTCCTCTGCACCTCCCCAAGTATTTCTGACCCAGCTACCCAAACGTCCTTCACCCCGACACGCGTACGAAAACCCTCCTAGCCGATAACCCCTTTAAGTATTAATCTCGATTACCTTCCTCCCTCCGATTAGCTGCCTCATGCCTCCAGATGTTCTCTTGTTCACTTCCCGTACCTATTTAAGTAACACCGCAACGTCCTGAAGCCCCAGCTTGGTATATTTTGAACACACACCCTTTTGCATAGGTCCAGTCCCTGTCCCTTTGTACCTGCTAACCATATGGATTTCTCTTTACACTCTGTTTCACTACCTCTGTTTCTCCTTACTCTCGTCTATTGTCTCTCTGATCACCTATACAATCGAATATACGCTTTTACTTCAAGTCTAAGCCTTCCGAGTGAGTCCCCAAGCTCCCTCGAACATTACTAAAGCTCCCCAACGCCTACACGCTTTGGTGAGCTACCCTTCCCCAAACCTCCCAGAGCTCCCTAGCTACTTCGTAAGCTTCGGGACCTTGACCTAGGTAACGTCGAAGCTACCCCTCACGTTGAACTATGTACCGCTTCTCTGTTACCACCTCCCCCACTCGAGGACGTCCATCCTCAAGCCCAGCCCCCAGGGACCTACCCTCCCTGGCATATCCCTTCTCGGGAGCTTATACCCTCGAGACTCAGTTACATATACGACCTACTCGATCCTATATTGACATTCTAGCGAGTACAACTCCTACTACGCAATATCGTACGGTCCCGTACTCTTCCATAACCTCCCTGGACCTCCTAGGAACCCCCTCAAGGGTCATCATTTCGTCGTTCCAGCCACTACTAGGTCATTCCCGTCCTCGGTCGCGGTTCTCGTAGCTCCCTTCGAGCTCCAGCCTGCTCTTAGCAAGCTACAACATAAACCTCCATATACCAAAACCCACCCTAAGACCTATTTTGACCCAGGTCTTACACAACCCCCCACAGCCTGGTCCCTTATCTTGACCTCTCTGTCATTATCTTGGGACTAGTTTGCCTACACTCCACCTCATTGCCTTGCTCAGTCACTCTGCTTTCCTGCTCTACTTAGTCACTTTGCCTTTGCCGCTTCGTGACACCAACTGTATCATGCTGGCCTGAGTTGTTATTTTGTAGAGATATGGTACATGTCAACTGTATTACTTTGGGTGAGAGATAGTTGCTCATTACTATATTCCATCACCCTACATGCATATAGTACATCTCAACTGTATTTTAATACTCTGCAAGCATATAGTACATGTCAGCTGTATTGTGTTGGTTCAATAGCTTAAGGGTGATTGATATGGTACATATGAACTATAATTGGATGTGTCATCATGTTGAAACTGTGGTTCTTAAAACCCATATCAACTTAGTCCAAGCACAGTAGTACTACATAGTAGTGCGCTCAATGATAGAAAAATAGTTAAGGTGCACCTTACATTACGAACGGGATATAATTAAGTAAGCTATATACAGCCCACTAGCTCTATAACAACTAGCTGTACCCTTCTATACAGCCGATGGAGCAACGCCTATCTGTTACTTGAGCACTATTAATTATCTTGAGCGGAATTGTATTATCCCTTTGTTACCGTATTTTGACAGCGGTATCATGTTTAATTTGTTCTCGTTTTATGTAGAAGCATAGTATCAGCTATCTGCTTCTAATTTTCACTAAAATGATTTTCAAGGGAAAACAGACATAGTTTTCATGGTCAAGACTCACAAGAGCCAAATTAGTACAAACTCTCGCATGGTTTTCGAGCTGTGATTGCGTAGAAGCTGGTATTTGTCTCTCCTGAGGTCTTCCATTCAAGTGAGGAAGCTTCTAGGAGTGCCTTATACTCCTCCCCAGACTGAACAATACCGTAACCCCCTGCTTGCACGATGGGACCCTTCATACCCAGACACAGATTCCGCCACTCCTCGGTGCTATACCCATTCCTTACCTTCTCATTCTGCTCATAATTCCTCCCTTCTCCATTCACTTGCCCGTTTCCACTGTAGTTCAGCTCGCCGCCAATGGAAACATGTTGTGTCACACACTGAACATCCAGAAACCCAGCATCCTCGAGTAAAGCTGGTAGGTACACAGACATGTCTCTGACCATCCCTTTCTGTGTGCACATATTCCTGACTAGCGTTGTGAGTTTCTTCGACTGTGGACCGACTCCCCATCGCAGGTACTCAAAGTCGATTTCCAGAAATTCTACCCATCCTCCCGGTTGAACGACTCTGGATATTTCAGCGATGGCTGAACGCCAGAGGGAGTCAGTCATCGCAGTGACCAGGAGTCGTTGATGGACGTATGAGAAGGTATTGGTCCATTCCGGGGGAAGGTCGGTGATTGTGTTGACGGAGAAATGCATTTCGGGAGGGTGCGTGTGAGGGAACTGTTTCGATGATATGTCGATGCATTCCATGTCAATGAGGATCCCATTCACGTGATTCTTCTCGAAGAATTCTAGGGCCCAGATACCTGCACATACATGAACGAGCACCAATCTAATCAGTGAAAACAAAGACATAGGGCAATGAGTCGAATCACCGCTTCCAGCTGCACTTTCCAGTACGCGATCTCCGTTTCTGAGACTGATTGGAGCTACAGAGAGTCTATCATCGAAAGCCCTCACGATTATATCGTGTTGTCTATTCAACCTGCAAGAATGTCAGAATCGAGTTCTATCTGGGAGTCCAGTCCCAACCTTTGCGTCTCAGCTTTATCGGCTGGCAAGGGATACTGCGTTGAGGAGGCATAGTATCTTTCAGAAGACTGTTGAACCATAGCGAGTAGTGGGGGAAGTGGTTCTTAGACCTTTTCGGTCTTTTTATCCCGTTTGAACTTTCGATATTTGATCTGTCAGCAATATGGCCCGAGCGAACAACAGAAGAATTGTAAATCCGATTCGAACCTAAGGTCAGTATTCACGCTTCAAGACCAACTTGATAATTTAGTACAGTGACAGTCACTTATGGTTACTCAATCCTTAGCGCCGTGCTGGCACGGCAATCCCCGACTCTGAATGGTTTCATGACAAGCAGGTATGCTGATTATTCGCGATTATAGAAGTAAATCAAAATTATGTTCAAGAGGAAAATAATATGATGCAGTATGGTCGTATGTAACTGTTGAATATATGTGATTAGATACAGATTGAGGTTATTGTTAAACTTTTGCATTGTGGTGTAGTGATTTTTGGTACGGTTTACAGTGTCTGTAATTTGTATTTTGAAGAATGTATTTATGTTGAATTTTCAGTTTGTTTTCGCCTAAAGATACATTTGTTATACTGTTGACATGGAATATCAATGACAAGATTGCAAAAAATGAACTCCTTCATTTTTGGTATACTGAAACTTCGGAATCAGTCTAGTGTTTGATGTGCGGCCAAAATTGGTGTTGAGAATTAAGTCATGGTCACTGTTGGTCGACCTACTGTGCATTGTATAAACTACTAGAATTTTCTGCAATGGCTATCTGTCAGCATGAGCAATTGCACTGTAATATACAAAGTTACTGGATGAAAAGGAGTTGGAGATCTTCATTGTAGGATCAGTGATCCATTCATGAAAGAATGACATCTGCAAAACCTGGATATTCGGCTAAGGGCTGAGAGCAGATCCCAGCAGATCCCAGTGCTGAAAGCACCGAAAGCAACATGCTCTGGGTGCTTTCACTGCTGGGAAGTGCTCTCGACCGCTTTCGGACCCTTAGCCGAAAATACAGGTTTTGCAGATGGAGTGACCTCCATTTGTAAGTTCAGAGGTCGGTTCCACACTGGCAGGATAAGTTTGGCATTCAAGTTGACAATAATAATAAGTACAAGGGGAGGTCAAGCCGGATCAGATTGATTTTCCTGTATTGTCATAATACCTGGACATTGTTATATAGACATACATAGTACTGAAGTGTACTCTGCCCAGAAAAGCAACAATATCATTAAAGTATGCGCACCATTCAGCGTTAAACTATACAACGTAAGAAAACAAACTACACGCACTAACTCCAAATCGGTTCACACTGTTACTACAATAAGACACCTATACATCATACAGCTTCTCCCATCTGCAAAACCTGTATTTTCGGCTAAGGGTCCGAAAGCGGTCGAGAGCACTTCCCAGCAGTGAAAGCACCCAGAGCATGTTGCTTTCGGTGCTTTCAGCCAGGGGGGGTACGTTGTGTAAGCGACGAATATCAACTATAACCAGGGGGGTACACTTTTTGAAGCCAGTCCGGTATCCTGCCGATGGACGGCAGCCACCTGGCAGCCACATCAGAGACATTCCATCGATTATTGTACCGCGTACATACTACGTCGTATGCGATCTCTGTGGAAGTGAGAAGGGTACAACCTTGAATGGCAGCTTAACTTCATTCCGAGGGCATCGAGGGTCGAAACAATGTGATATAGCAAAGAATAGAAGGGAAAAAATGAGAAGAAAAGCTGAGAAAGATGAACTCGAGCATCAACAGCAGGTACGATATCATAGTTCTGTTCAAGCTCACAACTCTAATAGTCATCAAAATCATGAATGTTATGGGTTGCTTGTACATAATGGAATATTCACAAGAGTGTTAGAGGTAGATAACTATAGAACTACTCCAACTGAACACGGAATGAACTCAGCTCTGGTCAATGAAAGCAGACAGACATCGGCAGTCCGGCTCTGATGACTAAGGGGGTGAGGGTTTGATTTCGCTTAATTTCGGATTGATTCGGACATTCATATAGTCATTTCATCGGATTTCTCGGTCAGGAGCCCCCTGCTTTCAGCACTGGGATCTGCTGGGATCTGCTCTCAGCCCTTAGCTGAATATCCAGGTTTTGCAGATGCCGAAAGATATTATTCACCACACCTTATACCAAAATGGACAGCAATGAATTGATTACATACGAATGAATAGTGCAAAATGATCTCACAAAACACGACCATTTGAATCCGACAAGGACCTCCTCTTTCAGAGTCGGTGACTCAATACTGTCGTATGACTCCGGTGTACGATGAACGCACCGCCGCTTTGGAGTTCTTTGTCCCGGGATCTTCCATGGAGTCTTCCGCTCCCAAGTTTGAAGAGCAATCAAGGTCATTAATGAAGATCTTCTGATTGAGAGGAAGAGGAACCGGGTACACGAGCAATACTTTCCTATGGTAGATAATAGATATCTACTGAATATCCGGCAATTCATATGGCTGAAGAGGATCTCCGACTTCTCTGGTAGGGGGACACAGATGGTGTATAATCGAGCCCATGACCATTGACAAGTAATTTGTGTACCTATTTCCGTTGTATCCGGGCTCCTTCCATATGGCGTTAGGAGAGCTCATTATCGGCGAGGAACAAGTTAACGATGGCCTAGAACGAACCACGGTTCAATAAAAATAGGGATAGTCTTGAACACTGATCGGTTTGGGACAGAAGAGGAGGATGCGTCAAGATGGGTGATTCCTACATAGATTTTTTGAGATGAGTCGAAGCAATGAAGCGGCAAAATCACCTTCAACGTTGAGAATGTCTTCTGCTTCCTAGATGTTCTATAAAAATTCTTTCAGACTACCAATTGAACGGCCGCCTTCATCAATGATAGTAAGGAATACAATGCTCCGTTTGGAGGGTCTGATGGAGGATGGCCACGGGATTGCAACTCGATACTTCGTAAGTTAGGATGATGCGACGAAAGATTGAGGGAAGTTAGCTTGCCCACAGGCATCAACGTTCAACGGCGGTATGGTCCTTATGCAACATCAGAGTTCAAATAATTTGCAGTCTCTATATCACCACTCACTTTAAGCAACACTACACAAGTTCCGCTTGAACGATCAATGAATTGAGCCTCTTCGAAGCCGAACTCCCTGCCAATGACGACCCTCAGCCAAATTTTTCGCATTTCGGACGGTGGATCGAAATATAATGAGTTTGCAGTATGAAGCAACGTGGATGAGCAGCTAGTATCTATCGTGGTGCCGAATTCGTGAGTTGATTGTTCTGTATTGAATCTGCATTTCTTAGACACGAACTGGGATGATCAAATATAGGGAGAACCTGGGCGATAAATTCTAGCGGTACGGGGCCTGGGCGCTAAAGACTTAGAGCTTAACTTCCGCAACGACCAAAGCGTCCCACCAGTAGCATCCCCAGACAACTCTTCGACTACCAGTATCTTCGCCATACGGAACTCTCATATAACGACATTGACGCTACAGGCTCGGGTTTAGCTACGACTCCACGTCTTCCACAAAAGTCTCAGCCACAATTGTGCTTGATTTTCGGCATGAGAACAACCACGGTAACTGATCTCTGAAGACGAGCTGTATCTTTGATCGGGGCAGGCGGTGGGAGGGAAGGATTTGTGTTTCCAAATCGTACGTCTACAAGGTTTATCAATGTCCTGCCACTACTTATGTTCACGGTCTAGAAGGAAGACCGATCAGCTCCCCGAAAACAGACGACGCAGACGACAAACAGGGGGGTCATGGAATAAGCTAGGACGGGGATATCAAGGTCGAGCTATTCTGTCAACGGAAATCCAGAGGTTGCCTGTCAACGCACTGTCCTTCCGTTCCGTTCGTGTTTTCGACTTCCGCAAACAGGAGAGCACTACTACTACAGCGTACCCGTAAGGTTCATGCCTTTGATGCTAAATTTGTTCGTTGATATGATATAATAGCGCAAGATGTCTCTTTCCTCGTTATTCTCTCCATTCTTATTACGTATGGTCGTGACGAAGGCCTTGTGCCTCAACGAAGAAAACCGCTGACCCAAAATGTTGAACCCAAATTGCTGAGGTCGAAGTTCAGTCTACTCAGGCATCACCACCGCTCTCTTTTCTCGCCGAGGACGTACCACATGCAATAATTATTCGATCGCTCCGTGTTCCATATCTATTGAATACTCTCGAAGCAGAGAGTACACTATTTGGTGGTGAGAAACGGAGCGCGAAACTCACTCGTCATATTGGAGGAGACCACGATTGTTGCAAGGTGAGTCGTTCTTATACTTGGATAGTTGTGGTGGCGTACTGAACCTATTATATCTTTAGTTCTTGCTTACCTGACTGGGCTCTCAACATCCTCCCTTTCTCTTTCCCTTCGCCACACGATACCGTTTCCTTCAATCTACCTCCTTCGGATATGCTCGCCTTATCCTCGAATAGCAGTTACAACAAGCCCGTGAGGCCAAGATAACTCACGGCGAGACGATGTTGGATTTCTCAGACGACCTCAACGCCACAAAGTTCGTATCTCGATGAAACACATTCTGGAGAGCGTTGTCAAAGTGTTTGAGCTTTGTGGCTCCTCCTCTTCGGTGCTCGAGGTGAAGTACCTTGAGGAAGTTGAGGCATGTTTGGGACCAACTTCGCGGTTATACGCGTTGGTTTCGGAGGAATTTGAGGTTTCGAAGATCTGGAGAGATTCGGGTCATGGGACTCCGGGAGCTGAGGCTAGCCCGTTCGTACATCATGAGAGTGGATTGTACCCGGTACCAATTGGGGCAGAGGATATGGGTGGTCTTCGTCGTAGGCAATTCGTAGCCAAGGCACTGTTCGACTCGCGGATTATTGACTTGTCGTTCAATAAAGTACGCCTCAAGCTTGTGCTGGGAGAAGAGGTTTCGTTGACTAGCGCAACGCTTAAGGTATCTATCGTAGTTCACCTTCAATCGAATCTTCGCTTGACTCCTCCTTCGATAGCTTGGCCAATACCCTTTCGAAGCTATTACCATCGCCCCTGACCGCCTCTGAACGACGAGGCGTTCTCCCTCTTCAGCTGTTGTTGACATCACAGATCGTATACCTGGCTTGCGAAAATCCTCGCATTAATCGAAGAAACTGTCACCGTCGAAGATCCCGCGCTTGATTTCACGCTTCTTGGATACGACATCGAGCTGAAGGTGCGTTACCATCTATTCATATCACCCATGCTTTTTCAAATCACACCCCCAATTTCTCGGTGAATTATAGAATCCTTGTAACGATAACCGGTGTCCCATCATACGTCCAGTTTGTCCCCTCAAGGCTATCCTCGGCTCTGAGAGCACTTTGCAAGCCAAGCCGTTCAGAGAAGGAATTAGCAAAGTGTTCCCGATTGGCGATCGACAGGGGTCCACTGTGGAGGAGTTGATGATGTTGTTTGGGAATGGGGATGAAGATTGCACTGTGGAGAGTGAGTTTTCTTCTCATGGTATCATTGTTTTCACTTAGCCGCTGCTAACGTATTTGCAGCACTCAGCTCTCAGCGAAGCGCTCGAAGCAGACCATGGGTTCAACCCCGAAAGTCGTGCTATCTGGAACCTGTTGGAGATCATGGCAGAGTACGACGCAAGTACGAGGCTTCCCGTCACCAGACGAAACAATCAGATATCTGGAAGATCCTTCCGTCGCGTCTTTCTTCAGTTAGTGCAATGTGTACATTATGAATTCGGCAACTGTAATGTTAACGATGATGAGCGTGGTCCTCACAAATGAATCTTTCTTAAATCTTGTATCAACAACACAGTCGATGGCACGACAGCAGCAAATCCATAGTGAATACTTCAAACAACTATCTTGATATAGAAATAGTGCACACTACATTGAATGTTCCCAATGTGTCCCTCACCAATTGTCTCTACATACATATGTAATGATAGGAATGAGTACATATACACGCTGATACATTTCATCGACAGTCCTCCCCCAAAACAGCCTCTTAAAATTCAGCTTTTTGCGTAACTGGCACTGTCACAGACGTCTCCGATGTTTCGCCTATCCTCAATCCGTCCTGTTTGACATCGTCATCTGAGTTCCAGACCTGGATGTAAAGAATTGTCAATACGTGCATAAAGCTTGCGAAGGTCGAACGTACATCTACATGTCGGTCGAGTTGTGTATGGATTTGTATTCCTCCGAAATCTCCTAATTCGACGTCTGGGTCGTGTCGCTAATATAGATAGATAAGTCGAAGTGGTACAAAGCGAAAGAATTGGACATACCCCTACTCCCGTACGGGCTCGTCTCGTCGTCCGATCTGCACTTGAGGCGTTTGTATATGGTCGGCTAGTACCATAAGCTGCACCGATAGTTCGACGCGCGTTGAGGGTCCACATCATAGATACGGCGTATAACTTTGGGAGCATCATATTAAACGCTGTAGACGTGATGTTCTCGTTTCCATCGTAGATTTGAGAGAAGACTAGATTCAATAGGGCGCTATGTCGATGAAAAGGGTTTAGTAATCTCAGATTGAAATAGCGCAGTCAGCTTACCAGATTGCAGCGGGAGCAGCTGTTTGGAAAGTCAGCCTCACAAGCGCAGTGATGAGACCAACAGTTCTACACGATTCCTCAAATAAGTTGCTGTGAGAAGGAAAGTGATACGTTCAATGTAACTTACTGAGGGAGAACATTCTTCTTAGACCTTATCAAGAAGTAAGCAGTAACGAGTGACAGTAAGAGGTCCCCAGCTGTATGTCACGTCAGTGGTGATGTTTGGAATACAAGGAAGAGCTTTACCGAATACGGATGCAAGGTGAGCAGCGACTTCAGAAATTGTCAGCAAATCAACGATGATATGGTCAATGGTCAAAATAACGCACACCACCTGCCAATACCGAGGGTATCGCTAACGGTGATAAAGTAAGTCTGTGGGTAGATCGACGTTAGCTATGAGAACTCGAAATTCCAAGAAACCTGCTTACAGCGGCTGAAAGAGCAGCGAAAGCGAACACAAATAGAATTGCTATAGGAATAACAGGTAACGGGCTCTTTGCGATCATGTAAAGGCGATAGCAGAAGTACGTTTGGACGTAGAGTCCTATTGCAGCAACCTATGAGTGGAGACTTCAGCGATATGGGGCAGAGGAGAGAAGAGGAAGTTTGGACGTACCATAAGCGGATTACCTGACTGCCACCAAGTTGTATAATTTAGAAGAATAGCACCGGGGAGATCGAGGAAATGACGGATGAAAATGATCCAGACGAGAGCACTACGAGACGCGTCAGAGTTACATCCGCCCATAAAGATCAGTGCACGTACAACGCCTGAATCGATTTCAAGGTAGTGATGATGGCGAGTCCAACCACTGCGAGCTTCAAGCCGAGTTTGTCATCGTGATACCATTGCGCATAGTGGACGAACTGAGTCGAAATTCGTCGTTAAACCAATTACGTGCAAGGCAGAAGGGTAACGTACCTGGCTAAACAGGACTCCTTGTAGAAGGACATCTAAAAACGCCCCAATAAGCTATAAATTGAAAGTCGTTAGAGGCAAATAATTTAAATAAAACTGCAGCGGATGTACATACCCAAGGGCCAAGAAGAAACACGGCTTGGTGCAGCTCTAAAGGAGTCATCTGTGGGTCCACAGGGCTGGGTTGGAGACAAGCAGTTGGGTACGGTTTGGAAGAGGAGGCGATCGCGAAAAGGTGAGTTTATGTACAGAGATGGCGCACCAGGTACACTCTGTAAAGAAAATTTCAAATTGGGATCCGGGAGCAGGAGGGGAGGCACCGACGGGTTCTGCCTCCTATCTCTGGCGCTTATGCATTATCCAATCGAAATTGAACGTTAGATACCGTCAAATGGGACCTAAAGGCTTCCAATGGGCCTCCCAATAAAGATGGTCTCCTGGTCCAAACGTTCAAGGCGGAGTAGGCTTGAGTAGGTCGGAGTAGGTCAAAGTGTGTCCAAATGAAACAGGGTTGCCTGACAGTTCGTTGTTCTCCCTGATTTCTCCTATGTATATGTAAATTGTAATCTCTTCGCATCAATCTCAGGTTGGATGAGCCTAAACGCTTCTATGGCGACAGTTGAGGATGGGGCAAATGTCTGAGGAATATCAGGGAATATCCTGGAATATCGCTGAATTTTGCCATGCACGAACCTTGACCGGTGACCAACCCAAAAGTGACTAAAGGAGCCGTGAAGGTGAATTAACCTGAACAATTCCCTCACGTTCCGGGAACGGTGGTGAGGTTCCACGCCAAGATGCTCCCCGGACTGTGCGGTGTTCAGATCCTGTACCAAGCCGTTTAATACACCTTCCTTCCTTCCCCAGATAATTTGACCCAAAATCGAATATGACTGCAGTGAATCTCTCGAATTCCTGCAAACCATCTTTTCCGAACCCGACTCGGAGGCTCCCCAATATCCTTCGTGATGCCTTGGCGAGTTTTGAGTGGTATGTTCAGGGATCAGAGTCCAGACTCAGGTACGTGGTCAAAAATCATTAGCAGAGGGGCTGATGGAAAAGTTCCTGGTAACCTTAGGATGCATGGCAGTTGGAATTTTGAGATGAAATATGACTGGCGCGCTTATCCTCCTAAGGGGATTGGCCAGTTGAGATTACATAGGTTGAGAAAGAGGCAGAAAGAGGCACGTACATCAGCAAAGTAGAGCAAAGTTCAGCAAAGCTCACCACGGCCCACAACTTCGTAGCTACTTAGAAGAACCTGTAATAGAGGTCCCACGGTCGGATACACTCATAAGGGTTGTTGCGTTTTCTTTGGTGTATTCGAAAGCATGTTCGATTGGTCGTCTTCTCGTCCAATGACAATATGAAAACATAACGTGGCCGGTCAAAGCTATCTTGATCTCGCCGGATCGGGAAACTGAACTTGTTAATAAACGTCGGGCCGTGCTTGGACCGTGCGCAAACACTCGACTCTGAAACTTTCATTATCACGCTACGCTCTTGGGACCCAGAAACAAATGAAAGGCGAATTACCTCAGTAAAGGCGTACGGCCACCTACAGTATACTCTAAATTTTCGGATTAGTCATTTGCTATGACAAAATACCGCGAAACTCGCAAGAGGCTTTTCTCTCAACCGCACGGGGTCTCACTTTTCATTCTCTCCCTCATCCTCTCAACATGTCTACCAATATTTCTCGGACAGCTTCTCTTGAAACTGTTCGTGAACTTGGTCTTCCGATAGACGAGAAGAAGGATGGAGACAGCAGAAATGAAACTAACATTGACAAGAACACTGTGGGAACGGCGGGAGAAAATGTAGATGACTTTCCTGATGGTGGCTTAAGGGCTTGGTCTATGGTATTAGGTGTAAGTCTCGCTCTTATACAATATTTATTCCTCTAGTTAACCAGAGTTCATACATGTAGACATTTCTATCCGCTTTTGCGACGTACGTGGGTTCCTCATGACTCTGACAAACATCGTCTGATCGCAACCTTAGATTCGGATTCGTAAATTCATGGGGGGTAAGCGTTGTCCTCAAATCATCCTTATCGCTTTCTTACATCCTCCCTAGGTATTCCAGTCTTACTACGAGCAAACGATTTTGAAGGATTCTTCGCCCTCTGATATGTATGTACTCCCATCTATCATTTCATTTATTTCTTATATTCGTTTACAGCGCTTGGATAGGCTCCGTACAGGTTCGTAGACCTCTACTATGTTTTCTCCTTCGACCGTAACCCCATCTTCTCGCAGTATGCCCTGATTTTCCTTCCCGGACTTATAACTGGACGCATGTTCGATATTGGCATCTTCAAAATCCCGTTCGCTGTAGCTAGTCTGGTGTTGGTCGCAACAAGTATGCTCACCGGTCAGTGTACTGAGTACTGGCAATTCATACTTTGTCAGGGAGTTGCTCTCGGGGTAAGCTTACGTTTCATTGAAGTTCGAGTGACTCGATTCATCCTATTTTCAGTTGGCATGTGGTACTCTATTTGGACCGTCTATGGGAATAATAGGCCATTGGTTCAAGAAGGTATGTTCGTGCTGTGTTCTGACAGAGAATCTGAACTGATGTAGTGCATACAGAAACGGGGACTCGCTCTCGGTATCAACGCCTGTGGGTCTTCTCTTGGTGGAACCCTCATCCCAATTGCAACTAGGAGGCTTCTTGTCGAAGTTGGGTGAGTTCTTTCCGTGCATTCACGACATCTCCTCTATCTTACCTTCCTTCTTCCAAGCTTTCCCTGGACCATGCGAATCTTAGGCTTCCTCATGCTCTTTGTCCTCGCCTTCCCGAATCTCCTCCTTGCTAGACGATTGCCCCCAAAACGAATATCGGGGGGGATGTTAAACTGGGCTGCGTTCAAGTCGGCACCGTACTCGGCTTACTGCGCGTCTTCCTTAGTTGCATTCTTGGGACTATACACCGGTACGAATTAGCAGCTCTGCTCCATTCAGAACGCTGCTGATATGATTTGGTAGTACTCACCTATATCGATATCAGCGCTTCTGCAGCGGGCATCGATGAAGACTTCTCGTTCTACCTTGTTTCGATCGCCAATGCTGCCTCCGGTTTCGGTCGCCTGTCGTCTGGAATTGCCTGCGATAAAATAGGTGAGTCCGTATGGCGTATACTTCTCCTTGTCATGACTAACTCTTTTCGAACAGGTGGAATCAACTTTATGGCGCCGATGACACTAGTTGCGGCTGCATTGACATATGCCTGGCCGTTCGCTACTACAAAAGCGGATTTTGTCGTCGTTGCGATCATTTACGGGTGCGACCTCCTCAATTCCTTCAAATGTTCCTCTTCCATTAATGCTTCAGTTGATGAATTCACAGATTTGCTTCAGGCGTATACGTTTCTTGTTTCCTTATGCCCATCTACGAAATGTCTGACGTACATGACATCGGTCGACGTACGGGGATGATTATGAGCATCGGAGCTATCGGAGCTCTTCTAGGTCCTCCCATATCTGGCGCCATAAACACAAACACTGGAGGATACACCGCTGTGGGGTATTACGCCGGTAAGCGACCTATATACATTCTTGGTTCAGAGCGTGCTAACGAGACTACGGAAAATTTTTTATGTCTTCCAGGTTCAATGATTGTTGTTGCATCAGCGCTTATGGTCCTTACTCGACAGTTATTCCTCAAGAAATTATGGGGAAAATTCTGAATGCGGCTTTACCCCCGAGTTACTAGAATTGCTGGACCGCGATACGTGGATGAATCCGTTCAAACCCACGACGCGATGGACCTTCCTATCGACTATCTATCCAATCACATTTACGATTGGAACACTTGCCTCAATTAGGCTCTATCTGACCTCTACCACACGTAATCTCAACAGAGGAATATCATACATATTGCACGCTGTATCCATCTCCACACAGACCACTCACGGCATTTAGATGTTAATATACGTTCGTGATATTTTATGTAGCATATTTGTCACGTTAATGAAATGATACTGATTTCTCATTTTTGTGGGGTCAAATAGCGGAGATGGTTCGTTGCATGAGTCGCGCCTGATCCCAAGGGCCTAAATTCTAATGCCTTTTGTCGTTTCTTCGTTTATGTCGTTGCTACTCCCAATGAACGGTTATTAATGAAATAGGAGAATGCCTCAAAAAGGGAATACTGCATAGCAAGGATTCAAGTGCTCTCTTCGATTGCCGCGAGACATACAACGATAAAGGAAATATCGTTAAAACATTCTGCAAATCATCTCCACTGAGTCTACTTTGTCATCTAGAGGCTAACGTATGATTCGGGATGTATGCAATGGTATGCTCTTAGCTCTATTTCAAGCTTTAATCTTTTTTTTCCATTGCAACTCGAACCACTTTTTCTGAATAAGTGTAAAACAAGTCAGCTCCACAGGATTAGGACACCGAATACGCATGGAACTTACAACCTCGGTCTCTGTTACACCGTTCTTCACTTTGAAAACCCCAGGATATCCCCAATCCACAAGTCGAGCTACAGTGATGGGGGTAGTCAGAGTCGGACCATCAGACGTATCTGCTCCGCCAACAACAAAGTTGTAGGAATTAAGATCGCTGGATGAAAACAAATTTGTTTTGGTATCAAGTATTGGACAGCAACTTACGTATGAAGAACTCCCTTCTGGACTGCATTTTGCACAACTTCCTTTTTCACGTGTGCTTTGGCTTCTTCCAACCACTTTGTTCTTTGGTCCACTTTGGCATCCAGGTACTCATTAGTCTCCTTAATCATCACCCCCTCCACAAGTTTCATCACGATAACGGGATACTTCCCATCACCAACTTTAGCCATCCCCGAGTCAATGTAAAGATCAACGTCTTTCAGGGCTTTTACTTCACCCCAGACTTTGTTATCTACTGTACTTTCCGGGTTTCCTACACCTCCGATGACTTTGACAATGACCGTGTCTTTGCCATGATTCACGCCTCCAACCTCATAGTCTTTGAGCAGGGTATATATTCCTTTATTGTATGCGCCAGAACACTCATCTCGGTGACTCCCAACCACCAAGTCCAAGTTTTTTTCTTTGTTATACCAGCATTTTCATTTATGTTTAAGGGATTTAGCAGAATGAAAGGCATGGCTTACCAAAGACTTTCTTGTCAGCCTCGTCAAGGTAAGTATCATCCCCGTAGAAACCTAAAATCCAATCAGGCTGTGAGCCTGAGAAGGTGAGTTTAATGATTTGTAGATAGGAATGAAGATTTCACATCGAGGTCTCCTCCAGGTGCTCCCAAGACTATTTTTCTCATCCTCGCGTCCTTACCCTTGATCGAAAGTTGGGCGGGGGTGGGTACGGCATGGGCAGTTTTGACCGAAAAGATAACAATGAGAAAGAGTGACAACAAAAAGGAGACGCTTTTCGAAGTACGCATGGGTGTAAACAAGATCCTGAGATACATTGTGAGATAAATAGATAGAGGAATGCTAATGGCCAAAATTCTATCTCTGACCGGCAGAGATGAAACTGGGAGATCAAGAGAAGATTAGGTTGGCCTTACGCTTGTGCGTGCACCTTATATGGATATTCGACAGTCCGATGGAACATTCCGGAGAATACTCGCTTATTTGAAAATTAGCACAGGTCCGATGGCGATTCCCGAGAGTCGTGAAACAATTGCGTGTGCATTTCACCCTCGAAGCTCTGGCATTGGATAGGTGATGAGAGGGAATGAATTCGAGGGAAGGGTGAGAGGCGAGAGTGAAGGAGGGAAAGAGGCGAGAGAGCCAAAAGACTTCGAAACAACGAACGATAAGTGCTTAAGCATCTAAACTGATCATGTCATGAGGGAAATGCGAAGATATTGCGATTGCCATAAGTATGCCTGGTAAGAGAGTGTAGGTTCGAGTCTTACTAGTCAGGGAATGAACAGTTCGTACCCGTTTTTTTTCATTTTCCCGACTGTTCCTTTAACGGGACCAGGTCAAATTTCTTACCTCAGTCAGTCAGTAAATTGAACTATATGCGAATTTAATTTTCGAATCTCCAACTTCTTACAACCAGCTAGTACCTGATCGAACCATCTTTTCTGTATAAACAAGCAAGCAAATCAGTCAGTAAAAGAACATCTGGAGCGGTAAGCCTCAAATCTTGATAATACCTACTACTTCGGCCTCTGTTACACCTTGCTTCACCTTGTACACTCCAGGAAACCCCAATCCACAAGTCCGATTTTGGTTATGGGAAGATCCAGGGTATCACCCCCCGTGTCATATTTTGTTCCTCCAACAAGAATGTTGTAGAAAGAAAAATCCCTGAAAGCAATAAAGCACAAAGATTGAGACAAGATACTCAATAGCTCATTCTAAAGGTCGGAAGTCCGATCTCACTCACGCGTGAAGAATCTGATCCTTCACAGCCCTCCGTACAGCTTCCTTCTCCACAAGGTTCTTTACTGTCTTTAGATACCCCAGCCTCTCCTCCCATGGCGCAAGAGAATATGCCTCCGTCTCAAAAATCAACATATAGATCGAGGTGTTTGAGGACCTTGACTTCACCCCATGCTTCGTTGTCCTGCAATTGTTGTCCAGAAAGAAATTCTATTGCCTTATTCACGTTCCATGTCCCTGTATGCTAGCAATTATTCCTCAGTCCGTACGCACCATAATCATTCGTGAAGTAACGTACCAGCAGCCCTGTTCTCGTACATTGTCCTCGCATTATCCTTAATCTCCTGAATGATGTGGATTTGAATCTTTTCCATATTGTTCCATTTACTATAATAGTCGTCGAGTCTCCATGCACGATTTTTCCCTTATCCTCCCCGGTACACCACCATTTGAGAGTGAGAAGTGAGGCCAAATATCAAGACTTGGGCAATGGTCAAAGGGGAAAATGTATAAGCGCCCGGTCCGCAACTTCCGCAAACTTTGTGCTTTGAACTCAACGAAACGTTCAACTGGTTAGAAACACACTATCATCACAGCTCATAGATGCTTCACTTGGTCGTATACTTGCTGAAAACTTCTTGGCGATGGGAGACAGGATGAAAACCCTTGCAAGTTCCGGAATTATGTCCAACAAAACACAAAGTCTCCGCTCGGTTAACCCAGATGTACATATGTAAGTATGGAAATTGTAGTCCGAAATTTAAGCCTTTATTTCAAAACCCCAACCGGTTCTCAAGTCTCTCTTCCCTCCTTGAGCACTACTACACCCCCTCCCAATTTCCGCCATTGTCACCGTCAAATGGTTGATACCCGTCGCAGTATCGCTCAGCAAAAAGAACAACGGCCGCGCCCCTGTCGTTCGACGGAGGAACACGAGAATGAGGAAGAGGATATTCTTTCTAATTCGTCCCTTAGGGCCGGGGCTTCGAAAAATGGCAGTAGAAGCAGTAGAAGTGGTTATCATGAAAGTCAGAAGATTGACATTTCCTGGTTCGATAAGGCCAGGCTTCGCGTCATTGCCGCTGCCGTCTGCGGCTTTCGATGTCTACTGACATTAGAGCCTGGCTTGTCCAACAAGGACCTCAATTTTGTGCATTTTCTCGCGAGAACAACGTCTTTGCCTGTGGTATGTCGTCTTCAGTGATTCTAACAACTGTTTCGGTCACTCATTCCGGAATTTTGCATAGCTGTTATGCTTGGAATATTCGTGGGGACTCTATCCCGGTCACCTCAATGTCAACTTTTATCTCAATATTGATATCAGTGCGTGTAAAAAGCATTGTACTATGGAGCTTCTCGTGCTCATTAAGGGTTTTAGTGCGCGTCGATCTTCATCATTCATTCGACGCCGGTATCTTCTTTTTCCTGCCCGCACTTCTCGTTCTCGAGAAGATGCTTGAATTCACGCGATACAACGTCTCGAAAAAGAGAACCCGCGACAAGAAGAAATTCTATCTAGTGAGTAGCGTGTTTGTTTTGTCATTCTTTTCCTGTTGTTTAAAAGTTTTTGATCTTCGCTCACCCAGGAATTCTCCGATGCAACATGGACTTACGATCTCTACACCGTTACATTCGACCCCCACCGCTCCATCCACCGCCGAAACATCGACACCACTATCCGGATACCAGACGATATTACCAGACATCCCGATAAAGGAGGGTATACCGAGCACGACTTCCCATTCAACAATATGCGCAACCTCATCAGCCATGTCCAGCCCTTCTTCGTCGTCGCCAACGCCTATCTTCACATGCACAAACTCGCTCGAGTCAAACGGATCGCGCTCATGGCGGAGAACGACTCGCTGCAGCTTGTATGGCAGATCGGCGAGATTTGGCTAAAGCCTGTGCCAGTTTCGTTCAAAGACACGAGGAAGGGTGGGGAAAATGAGATGGCAGATCCAGAGACGGATACGGTCTCGTTTCTCGCAGATAAGGACAGTCATGCGGATGTGAAATACCAGCAAAAGCAAGTCTTTTATCGAAGGATGTTGGGATGGGCCGATGAGCAGAGGGCTTCGGAAAATGTTTTTTCGAAGACGGTTCCTCTGCCAATCACACTCTCGGATAAGAAGATGGACAACATCGAGATGGAAGATGCGTCTAACCATCAGAACCCGACCTCAACTCCAGCCCGAAAAATTCGAACCCGGTCCTCGACAATTTCGGAGCGTACCTGTCCTACGTCAGCCAAACGAACATTGAACGAGAAGGAGGATAGGGAAGATGTCCGAATATCAAAGAAAGGGAGGCTCACTAAGCCCTCTCGAGGTTTCCCATCTACACCGTCCACTCCCAGGAAGTCGCGTTACTCCAATCGCAATCGCAACACTGTTGAAACCATTGACCTGGAGCCCGAAATCCGCGCATATCCTTCTCTCGCATTCGAAGTCCAGGTCGAAGATGGCAAAGACTTTTTACTTGACTTTATCTCTTCCCAGATTGCAGCCTTACGCCACGACTCAAGGGTCGATTGTGATGCTAAACTTTCCTCAAACAAAGACGACAACGAGATCGCAGATATCGCTTTCCGGGTATTGGAAAGCCAGACCGCGGACGGAGAAATTGCTGGGGACTTTCTTTGGGAGTCAGATACCAAAACAACACCAGGGACTACTTCTAAATCGCGACTTTCTATTTCAAAGACACCATCATCAACCAAGAAAACTCCTCTACGCAAACGATCATCTACATTGGTGTTGGCTCATGTCGAGATACCAGTGGAAAATCCTACTCCTTCTACTCCATCTCAAATACAGAAAGTGAGAAACACCAGCAATACCCGCTCCATGACTCTCGATACACTGAGATCTGATAGCGATACGTATACCGAGACCACTACTCCTATAAGAGGGAGATCTGTAGCTCCAGCAACGGCCCCAAGATCTTCGTCGAATGCAAAGAAACTCATCGATATCAGAGCACGCTCTGTACTCCCTCTTTCTACTAGGTCCATGAGGATCTCTTCATCACTCAATGCTATAACCACAAAAATCACGACTTCACCTAGTCTTGATATGAGTGCAAACGAGGCCGAACCCATGCGCGGCAACCACCCGAACACTGTCAACTCGGACGCGAACGACCAGTCGACCTTTATTCATATTGGCCGGCAGATCATGTTCGAGCGCCTAGCGCAGGAATTCGGGAAAACAGTCGATGAAATTTCTGGTATCTATAGTGACCTAGGGAATTTGGATAACACGAGGAAAGTCTTGGTCCGACTTTCTGGAATAGGAACACCCCTTGGACCACAAACATCGTCTTCGTTAGGACATTCGGCTTCGAGATCGGATGTATCTAATTTTCTTCCAGGATCACGTCAAGAATCCTTGTCCGTGGCATCCTCAGTAAAGTCAAACCGCAATGCGTTAGCACGTTCTCAGAGTGTGGCACCGCCATCTAGAAGTCCATCCCTTTATTCTTCCACGGCTTCACCATCTTTCCTTTCCATTCCAACTAGGAACGAATCACGCTCTTTCCTTACCCATCCACAACCATGGTCACCGAAGAAGAGATCGATTAGCTCCCTCATATCACCTTCTCCTTCCATCGCCTCGTTCTCGAAATTGCGCCATGTCAATAATTCCGAAAACGACTCTTCAGGGGGCGGAAATTCTGCCGACGAATCTGATGTTCTTCTAGAGAGAAAGAAAAGGAGCATGCAGAAAAGAAGCACGAAGAAAAAGAGAAAGACAGTTAATGAATCAAGTTCTCTCATTCAGGCATCTACTTCTTCCTTTTCCAGCCCAGCTCAGAGCTTGAGGAAGACGAACCTGACCTCAACAGAAAGGGAAATAGAGAATGATACAGAAGCGGAGAAAGCAAGGAACCTCGGTATAGCAACGGGTGAGCAGCAGTATGAAGGCTCCCATGTTTATATGCACGAGCATCGCTTGGATTCGCTGGCCCGCTCCATTGAGCTAATTTTGAGGAATGGGAAGTGAAGGTACTTTGAACTTGAAGCTTTGAGATATACTACTCAATATGTTTCGTAGTCGTGGTATAATAAACGAAGTAGTTAAATTTTAAGTATGTGTACATATGTTGTCCGGACGTCGACGGCGAAAGTGAATTCTGGCTGGCAAGACTATCAATTTACCAAGCCGGAGTAACATAATAGTGTCACTCTAGATCAAACCATTCTTCCTCAAATTGAAGCAGGTCAGATGAACAGTATAAATGTGTGACTCTCAACTTACTACTTCAGCCTTGGTTAGATCCTTTTTCACTTTGTAAATACCAGGGTACCCCCAATCCACAAGTTCAGCTCTAGTGATCGGGATATCTAGAGTCATTCCTTTGTCAGTCTTTCTTCCTCCAACAAGGAAGTTTTCGACATGGAAATCACTGAATGACAATGCAGACATCAGTTTTGATGTCAAACAATTGGCAGAAAGAATTACGCGTGAAGAATCTGCTTCTGGACCGCAAAACGTACAACTTCCTCCTTCACAAGTGATTTGACTTCTTCCAACAACGCCTTTTTTTGTGCCAGTCTGGCATTTTTATACTCTTCGGTCTCTTCTAACAATACCCCCTTGACCATCTTCATTACAATAGCGTAACAATCACTTTCCTGAACCGTGATTAGCCCCGAGTCAATGTAAAGACCAACATCTTTGAGAGCTTTAACTTCACCCCAAGAATGTTTATCATTATACTTCAAGACTTTCACAATAAGTGTGTCTTTGTCATGATTTATACCTTCAACCTTATAATCTTCTTTTGACGCGTATATATACAACGCGTCGCCACCTAAGCAATGGAGTTTTGCACCTAATTCCAAGTTCTTCAGGCGTTTTTCTATATCACATTCACATTCGGACTGTCATTGAGACCTGGCGGGTGGCATGATTATCATGAACTCACCAAAAACTCTCTTGTCATCTTCATTGAGGTAGGCATCATCCCCATAATAGCCCAAAGTCCAGTCAGGCATCTGTGAAAAGTTGAGTTTATGATTCATGTATATATCCACATCTTGCAGATCAACCCACCTCGCTCATTTGCACATCTGGACCCCGACTGCCTGACCTTATCTCTACATACCGAGCCTCCTTTAGATTTTGGGCAGGAGCGGGCACAGCATGAGTGATTTGTAAAGTTGTGAAAATAAGAAGAAAGATAAGGGAAAATCCTTTCAAAGTATGCATGGTAGCTAATTGTGAGTGGGGGAGATTGCGAGTCGTATGAGAAGGAGGACTTGGATAGTCAGAGGGCGATGGATGGATATGCGAGCAATGAGCAGTAGGCAGCTGGGGGGCAGTTTTCGGTGGTGGCTGATAGCAGCGTCAAAGAAATTCAAGAGAGCAGTGCAAATCTGGTGCAAATATTGTGAAGCCCCGACCGGCAGGGGAGAGAACTGAGAGAAGATCAACTTTCAGGTCAGTATGGCTGTTAGTTACTCATATATGTCGGAGCACGTTTTCCATATTTAAGCGAAGGAAAAATGTGCTGCGGATATCAGGATAAACTTGAAGTTGTACTAAGTGTTGGTTCAATATGCTGTTGGAGTACAATATGCACACAAAGACCTTCGAAGTGATCTGATTAGAGTTCAAATCGAAATCAGGCCCTTAGACAATTCCTGCAAAAGACTGCAGACTGATACTAGAAAAGCAGACCAATAGAAAATCACTCCTCTCAATGTGAGACAACTGTCGCCCGTCGTGAAGGCCGCGAGATCCATTGGAGGCAGCATTGACACAGATGTTTATCTTCCGTAAAACCTGGAGTCCGAGAACCTGGCCTAGGCTCAGAAAGTTCAAACTTCCAACTTGTTGAATGGGCATCGGACGAGTATGAACCTAAACAGAATTGCAACAATCATATATGTATATACCATTACCAGTTAATATCTCTCCGGTTCAAGATATAATTTCCCAAGCTTACCCAAGTAGCTCCGATCCTCCTAAGTCCTCCTATCCTCGCCGATCCTCCACCATTCGTAGCACAATTAACATAGTAGAACTGTAGAAGGAGTCAAACAGTGACAAGGTGGATAGTTTTCAGACTGGATCAGGTCGGATCCCGGGACGCCCCGATTGAAGTACCAAGCACCCAGGAACACCCTTATTCGTTGAATTTCAAGCTTTCAAGCTTCAAACCTCAAGATCCTTATAAACGGTGAGCACTCATCAAGTGATATAGCAGCCATAAGCTTCTACAAGTATTTCGCAGGCTTCTGGGGTACTTTTGCCATCTGTACCCTCTTAACTGCCCGATGAATTGACTCATCAAAGCCAACTAGTTGCAGTGCAGCACATTCCACCTTCAAAACACCAATCTTGTACAATCCCTCAAGTTCAACAATATTTGGAAATACTCGTGGCTGGGATGGTGGAGTAGCAGCATGAGCTATACTGAATAACGACTGGCAAAGGGAGGGATTTGAGTGAGAATTACAGATGAATATAAAAAGTCTGATATAACTAACCACATAATCCGGTATATTGATCCCATTCGGCATTAAATAGTCCAACGCATACATCTTGTATGTACCAGCATAACAGAAATACCCATTTGGCCGGTTAACAAAAAGTTCGCATATGGTTCCGTAGAGATGCTGAAATTGGGAGCGAATGGCATGGTTAGTAGCTGTGAACGAGGAAGAGGCATATCTGGACTTCTGAAGATCGCTGGAGGGAATTTGTTGAGGATGTGGCCCGAACGCCAGAAAGTGTTGGGCATTCGTCGTGAATTGATGCACACAGCCTGGGAAATAGAAAATACCCTCAGAGGACCTATATAATTGTTTGGTCGATAAGTAGGTATTACTTTGAGCGACATACCAGTCCTGATAGGGCATCTAGTAGGAACGAAGGGGTAAAACCAATATCAACGTTTGAGGTAAGGCAAGGACTTACAGCCATCTTTAGATGTCCGTAGATATCCGAACCTTTTGCGATCGTGAACTTGAACTTGCGCATATCATCGAGGCCCCGGGGGATGTCGTTGATGTATGGGAAGGCACAGACTGTGTCTCGTATTCTCAGCATGAGCTCCATCTACAAACACATTTGATTAGTCTGTGTCCAATTTATGTGGCTATAAATGACAAGAACGTACATCATTAGGTGAGGACGGGTGATCGATTTGTGAATTTCGTTGAAATGAGCATTCCCTTTGTGTGGTTTGGATGGGCTATATATGCATGTATGTATTTCACTTAGCATGATCTTCGAGAACAAAGACAAAACGTACCTCATTGGAAGAAGGTGGGTGGGCAAGTTGTGAGCTGTTGCGATGTGGAGGTGCCATTTCAGCGTTTTGGGCGGCCTGGATATGAACAAATAACGTTCAACGACGGCCCAAGGTGACGAGTGAAGAAAAAAATAGGATATGTTGGGTAAGGATGCAATGGAAAGTCACGGCAAATACGATGAGCGAGAACCGCAAAGATATTCTGGTTAGAAATCATAATGATTCATTAAGTATTACCTTGTCTGGGTCCCTCAACTTTTCCATAGCAGCTTCGAGAGGACTGAGACCGCTCTATAGTATATAAAATATCCATGAGCAAGTACAAGCTGGAAAAGACATTGAAGTCTGGACATACAGAGTAGCCCCTCGTCGAATTCCGCGACGCTGCAGACGCCGCAGGCCCAGTTGTGATACGAATGATGGGAGGAATAGGTACTTGAGTTGTTGGCTTCGTTGAAATTCCTAGTCTCCTATTATCCGAAATAGCTCTCTTGCTGCTTGCTACCGATGCAGTCGCTTCGTCAGGGTCCATGAGTTTTTCCATAGCGGCCTCAAAAGGGGTATGAACACTCTATGTATAAAGCATGAGAAATATAAGATACAAAAGACATCCGAGTCTGCACATACCGAGAAAACCCTTGTCGAATTCTGCGACACTGCACGGGCTGACACTGTGGGGCCAGTTGTGATACGAATGATCGGAAGGATGGGTACTTGAGTCGTAGGTTTGGTTGGAATTTCCCTTCTCCATTCGTCTGAATGAGTCGATACCAATGCATTTCGTTCCAAGTAAGAGGACTAAGCAAGAGATCGAGTAAGTTGGACATCCATCAACATATGCGTCACACGATAGAGAAATCGGACGGGAACACAGCAAAGTATGAAGGTGAGGTATGCGAGAGGAATGTAACAGATTCGATAGAGCGGAAACAGATACGTACCTTTCCCTTATCCTTATGTTTGTCCGACATGAAAGAATACGGTCTATATTCTCTCTATTTCAAGCATGCGTGAGTTCAGATTAAATGTACGTATAAATTCAAACAGAACTAATGGAGGATCTTTGTTGACGCACGGGACCCGGAGCATTGTCTCGAGGACGATGTTGTTTTAGTGAACCGGAGCTCTGTGTCGAGGTTTGTGCCGGTGTCGGCGCTGTAATATTTGGCTTTCTCGGAACTCCTGCTCGTCCACCAGTGATTGAGCCCCAGCTGGCCCCAATGCTACTCAGATCCTGGATAGAAGTGTTCTGCTCCGAGGCCTGTGTTACAAAAGCCTGCTAAGGTCAAGGAGGTCAGAACGAGTAGTCGGGGTAAAAAGAAAGAGACACACATCGCGTTGAAAGTTTGTCAAAAAACGTCGCACCATGGCCTGGGCGAGGTTGTGAATGTTTGAGGGATTATGCAAAGGTGAGCTTTTGCTTGATAGAAAGTAAGAGATACTCTCTCCTCGACCGCAATGAAAGAGAATGAGCGAGAAGGGGAAAAGGTTGAAACGGAAACTCGAATTATAATCATTAGGTATGTGTGTATGGAGAGCCGCGTGGCAATCTCCTCGGATATCCCAGATTTATGAACGTATGTAGGTAAATCAACGATACGCAGTATGCAAAAGAATTTCCGCAATGTCCCTACCCGTCTTCGTCCAAAATGCCAAAATCAAAAGACCGTAACAACAACAAGTCCTCGATCGAAAGCTGTCCTAGTTTCCGTAAAGGAGCTTTGTCCTATTCTATTTTGGATTGATACGTGAATTCTACGCGTTGACGGAGGATCTACTTGTCAATAGTCCTCCAGGCGCCGCGCTTATGACTTCTCAAGAAGCGTGAAGTCCTAAGATGAGAAATTGAACAGAGCGTCGAAGGTTTCAGGATGCTTGAAACACAAAACACACAGCTTGCTGGGAAAATCTTCGGTCCTACTCGTCAGCTACATTGATGCATGATTTGTGAATATATATGTGGGAGGAGGGGTCATAGATGAGTGGCTCGACATTTTAACGCAGTGTCTAGAGAACATTGAAGAAAAGGTTACGCGAAGACTAGAGAATCGCCACTCACTTCGATTGTCTTCCTCAGATCCTACGACTCCTGCAACAGCTCACATTTATTCGCAATGCTTGTAAGTATCTTTTAGGGGAGAGGGTCCAGTAGGTCTTTGATCAGGGGGTATTATCGAATGAGCGGCTAGCCGCTACGAGCGAGTTCTGGGGAAGGAGAAAAGAATCATCATTTAGCGCTTCAAAGGAAAAGGACAAAAACACACACAGATCAGCTTGTAGAAACCAGCCGTCGATTTGTCCCGTGGCAGATAGTTAGATAGATAGATAGCAGTATATTCGTGTGGGTCGACTTTACAGCGGAAAAAGAGGGAAGAGGGCGCGCGCGCTAGATTATATAAGAAGCGCCCTTGAATTTCAAAATTCCTGTGTACTTAATGGCATTATCTGTCTAACTGGTTTGCATCCCATACCTACTTACCCTTGAAGTTTGACATTCGGCTCTCCCTCACATGCAACCCATGAAACTTCAGCATCATTGGTCAGGCTTCCGCCACTTGTACAGGAGGTAGATGCTTGTTGAGCAAACGAATTGGTGACAAAGAGTCCTTCACAACTTTCGAGGCGAACTTGAACAGTAACGTTGATATATACATACCTGGGGTCTTTATCTGGAAAAGACTGCTGATTGTTCAACGTGAATTCGGGATCCTGTATCAGCATGCAGCATCAATTCTTTTTTCGAACTGGAGTCTGGAGAAATTGCAGGAGAACATTCTCTAAGATTTCCTGTCAAGCGAACGGAACAATCCTCCTGTCAATCTGATATCACTGATAAAGATATCGCGTTATGTATAAAAAGAGTCGGAATTCAGAAAAACGAATTCACGCACCCCTTCAGAATGAGCGAACAACCTACCGGGAGGTATTACGCTTCAAAGCAGTATCTTCTACCAGCTGACAATGTTGAGACTCAAAGGTCAGTATAGTCATAAGGAACCATTGCAGCATGGAGACTGACCTTAGAGATGATCCCAGGTTGAACACTCAACATAACATGATTATCAACGCGTTCGGGAGTAAACTTTCCGTGGCTCCAACAAACCTCACCACTGGAGACCATGTTTTAGAAAGCGCAGCAGGAAGCGGTGAGCTTATCATCATTCATTCAGCCATGATCAAGCGACTTGATTCGCTGATAGGAATCTGGGCTCTCGAATTCTTCGAAAAAAATCGCGCAGAAGGCATAACACTTGATATCGAATGCATTGACATCTCTTCAGCGCAGTTCCCTTCCACCCATCCACCCGAAATCCACTTCTCCGTCAACTCCATTGTCAATCTCCCTAATCCTGACTGGACTGACACGTTTTCCTTTGCCCATCAACGCCTCTTGGTCGCTGCAATGAATGACACACTCTGGCGTTCAGCTGTTGCGGAGTTGTTCAGAGTTGTCAAGCCAGGAGGTTGGGTCGAGCTGGTCGAGATTGAGGCGCAGGACTTCAGCTCCTGGAGCGTTGGCCCGAATTCAACGAAATTAGCGTCCTTGATCAATGCGCTGTACGGAGGGAAAGGAGTTATTGGAGATCTTTCAGTTTATCTTCCGGTAATTCTCAAGGAGGCTGGGTTCGTGAATGTTCAATGTGATCCAAGACGTAAGACGATTGGTGGGGAGGTGGATGCTACCCCACACAAGGTTACTGAGGTGAAAGGTTATGGCAGTGATATGTGGCGCGATCTTTGGATGGGTACGATGGGACCCGTGATTGAAGCAGGAGGTTACGGTGTCGTAGACACTGTCGAAGAATATGAGGCCCTTGTACGAGGCACAGAGGTCGAGTCGAAAAATTCCAAGGAAGCATATACCACCTTCTTCGCAATCTTGGCCCGCAAGCCTGAAAACACCTAGAGATACAATATATCTCTTATTTGTCAGACGTAATGTTGATGTTTCAGTTGCACGATGAATAGGTATGCCCACATGGGTGAGATCGATGAGATTGGTGTGAACCGAAAGTGAGGGACCCGCACAACAAAACATGCTATAGTATTCTACAGATTCCTGGCTCGACTGACTTGGATGTACGCGATTCCCACTGTAACTCGAACCACTTCTCCTATTACCAATATGAATCAGCACCGAAGATCATAAAACTGGTACTCCCGAACTGAGAACGTACGACTTGTTCCTTCGTTGCCTTGTGGCTCACTTTGAAAATTCCAGGATATCCAAAGTCCAGAACTCGAGCCTTTTTGACAGGATAATCGAAGTGAACCTCCTGACTGGTACCGCTTTGTGACGTCTTGGCACCTATGTGGATGTTACCGGGATTGAAGTCTCTGTGGGAGGAACAGAAATGAAAGAGTAAGGGATTCGACTTGAGCATGGTTGAATCAACTTACGCGTGGAGCAGTCTCTTTTTGCCTAACGCCCAAAACACAACCTGCTCTTTCACGAGCGGACGCATTTGTTCTAACCACCCATCTATTTCTTTTTCGTTAGTACCTTCCCTCACCGCATCCTTGAACTGAACAGTGTTCAAACACTTTGTCCATGACTTTAACGATGACAGCAGTTTTGCTAACCGGTATCTTGCTGTTTGTGTAATCTCCTTGGAGTAAGTAGATGCCTTCGTTGTGATAGCCTTCGCAGTCTATTTTGAGACCGACAACCGCCTTGCCCAAGGGTTTTTCTATATTGTATGATATCAGCATATGGTGAAAACATATTCGTTTGACTAATCCACTTATTGAACACTTGTTTATCCTCTGCACCAAGGTACGCATTATTACCGTAGAAGTCCAAAATCCAAGAAGGCTGGAAGGAGCGATGAGCATTACCGGAATCTGTTAAGATCATGCAACCCGTGTAACCGTGCCAGAGGTCACAGAGTGTCTAAGTGCGGAATACGAATGGGACAGTAGTGAAGTTATTAACAACACCGCCGTTACGCCGTATATCCCCGGAGGTCGAGAGTATAGAAGAGAGGAGCTGAGTAGCAGCCAAGTCGGAGCGGCGATAACGCCGGTGACGAGGAGCGAACCAGAGAACGTATAAGTCCTAAGGTAGAGTAGAGAGAACTTCAAGGCAGTAAGCCTGAAGACTTAGAGGAGCACAGAGTGAAAGAGGGAATCTAAGTCGATAATTAAACTAAGGAACTACAGTAGCGTACAGGCAGTATTTATATCTACGGAGCGGCGCATCGGTGCGGAGCGCCAGACTAACTACTAGGAGCTATACGAGTAGTACCTGCAGGGTAGAGTGAAAGACAATAAGGAGAGACTAGGACGAAAGGGTATGGGTAGCGAGAAAGAACAATAGGAAGAGATTACAATAAAAGCAAATCTTCGGAATACCGAGCGGCGGAATGGAGGCCCGCTGCATGGACTTGACAGTATCCCCCTCTTAGGCTTGAGCCCTCGAAAGCCATTAATACCGGGAGTTGATTGGTCAACAAGGAAAAATTTTAAAGGCCGTCAGCATCGGAAATTTCGGCCTATCAGTCAGCAAGAAAATTTTCAAAAGCCGTTGGTACCGGGAATTGGCGTTAGTCATCAGTGAAAATTTTCGGTGCACCGTAGACCAAGTACAATTCGAAGGAAAATTTTTCGCTGGTCCGTGCGCCATTTTGTCCCTATAAAAAGGGCCAGGTTTTGCCGCTAGGGCCCTAACTTTTCCCAAAAACCCAAGTCCTCAATGTCGACTAGCCGTACTCAAACTCACACCACCTCCTCTTCTACCGCCGGTCCTTCGGAACACCGACGACTGGTATTACCGGTCAATCCCACCGAACCTGCTGATCCCGACTCCCTTGAGGAAGAAGGCCTGGATGAGGACGAAGCCGAGGTCCTGAGGAAGGCACAGGAGAAGGTTCGTCGGATGAAGGAGAGGAAGGCAGCAGCGGCGGCCGCGGCAGCGGCGAAACAAAAAGCCGAAGAGGAGGCAGCTAAGAAGGTAGCGGAGGAGGCGCGAGAACAAGCCGCGGCGAGGGAGGAAAGGAGGAGGAGAATGGCAGCAGCAGCTACTGCCCGCAGTCGGCGAGGATCTTCGCCAGAAGAGACTTCGGGGTCCCCTCGGAGGCCCGTTGTGGAGATCCGGAGGGAGAAGAACAAAGGGAAAGGGAAGTCCAAGGCCCAGGTGAGTAACAATGTCCTGGTACTTCCTGCCTTTACTAACGTTCTGAGTTCCAGCCCGTGGATGAGGATCCCGATGACGGCGGAGACGGCGGTGACGACGATGACGAAGAAGATGAACGGACGCCCTGCGAACGATGCAGGAACAAGAAAATCCCTTGCCAGATGCAGGCTGGCAAGAGGAGCTCAATAATTTGCAAACCCTGCCACGACGCCAAGGTACGGTGTTCGTATTCCAACCGGCCCTTCACGGTCAAGCGAGAGGGAGGGTCCAATCCGACCGGCGAGCGCCTGGCGGTCCTTGAAAGTCAAGTGGCCCAGCTCCTCGCCGATAATCGACAACTTCGAGATGGTCAGGTAAAGGCAAATACCTACCATCGCCACTTCAATCGCAAGCTGGACTGGCTGATAACGGACGCCGCGAGGAGGAGGAGGACACCCCCTGAAGTACTGGAGGCCGGGCCGTCGGGATTGCCGAGGAAGCGACGGAGGGTAATAGACAGCGACGAGGAGGAAGATCATGAAATAGAGAAGGAGATAGAGGAGCAGGGATTGGAGGAAGATGGGGAAGGAGATGAGGAGGAGATGGTAGAGGAGGAACCGGCGCCGGCGAAGGCGCAGTCGGAGAAGGGAAAGGAAAGGGCCGTAGAGTAGTGAAACTACGGACATCGGACATCGGCCCTTCGGCCATCTTCTTATATTTCTTGTAGTCTTCCTGTTGTCTTCTTGTAGTCCTGTCTCTCCTGTATATATTTTGAACTTTGTATATAACAAAAAATGTTCAACGCAATTTTGAAATCGGAGAGCGAATGGGCCGAAAAGCGGCGTAAGAAATAATTAGTTTTGAAGTATAAGTAGTTTAAGTGTGAAAGAAATATAAGTGAAATAGTAGATAGAAGGAAGAATTTACAATTAAGAGAGAGGGATAAACACTCAATTTACTATCATCGTGTTTACCCTCTAAACGCACAAAGTAATCTTCTGCGGAGCACGGCGGAAAACGGGGAAAAGGAATAAAATGATTTTGTGTGATCAAGGTCCAGGTTTCAAAGGGTATCGAGCGTGGAATGCGGGGACCAGTTCATCAGCATGTAATTCATCAGCGGCAACCCAGGAGAATTCATCATCGGTACCTTCGTAACCGGCCCACCGAATGTAATAACGTAGAGGACAACGTTTGTACCTTCTGTCCAGCTTGGAGTCAAGGATTTCGGCAACGTTGTACTCCTCTTCACCATCAACTTCAATTGGAGGTGGAGGAGATTGAGTTCGATTCGGGAACGGGTTCGGCGTAACCGGCTCCAGCTGTGAGACATGGAAAACCGGGTGAATTCGGCGAAGGTAATCCGGGAGCTTGAGTTCATAAGACAAAGTACCAGGTCGACTGACGACCTTGAAAGGACCAAGATATTTTTCAGAGAATTTTTCAGTAGGACGAGTAGAGCGAATATGCTTAGCAAGAACAAAAACTTCGGAGCCGATCGGGAACTCCGGGTGCGAGATTCTTTTCCTGTCAGCTTGTTCCTTATAACGAGACTGAGCTAAGAGGATTTCCTCTCGAAGGAAAGCATGGAGTTCATCGAGGTTAACGACGAAGTCTCTAGCAAGATCAGACTTCATGTCGACCTCGGGCCGAACGGTGATGTTTGGGTGGTATCCTTTGTTAGCAAAAAATGGAGTAATACCAGTGGAAGCATTGGGAGCGTTGTTATAGGCGAATTCGGCGATCGGAAGTAGCAGCGACCAGTCATCCTGTTGGTAGGAACAATAGATCCTGATGTACTGCTCGAGAGTCTGATTAACGCGCTCGGTCTGCCCATCGGCTTCCGGATGGTATCCAGAGGTATAGTGAAGTTCCATGGAGAGCGCTTTACCGAGAGCCCGGAAAAACGCCGAAACAAATTCAGAACCACGATCAGAAGTGACATGATTAGGGACACCATGTTTAGAGAAGACGTGAATAACAAAAAGCTCAGCTAGTTGTTCAGAAGTAATGGTGTCGTGAGTTGGAATAAAGATAGCTTGCTTGGAAGATCGATCCACAACGACGAGAATAGCGGTAAAGCCATTCGACATTGGCAGTTGTTCAATGAAGTCCATGGAGATGGAATCCCATGGTCGGACCGGAACCGGCAAAGGCTTCAACAACCCGTAAGGCCGATGACGGCGAGGTTTGTTGCGCCCACAGATAGTGCAAGAGGTAACGTAGTCACGTACGAAGTCTCTGACCTTGGGCCAGGTGTACTGACGACGTACAGCTTCTAGAGTGCGGTTCTGGCCGAAATGGCCGGAGAGTGGATGATCATGGAAGTAGCGGAGAACTTGAAGGCGAAGATCGCCGTGATTAGGAACATAAATACGGTCATCAAGGCGTAGTAGCTTGTCGCTACCTAAGCTCCAACGTTCATTGGAAGGATCTTTAGCAAGTTCCAGACCAGCAACGGAGCTCGGGTCGGCGGGAAGGGCGAGGATGATGGCTTGGTGCAGGGCTTCGATATCCATGATAATCGAGGCTCGTAAAACCGGGCCTTCCAAGAAGGTAGCTCGAAGAGACGCAGTGAGTTGTTCGTTAGTAAATATAGGACGGAAGTTATGAGGGTTCACTTGGGCGTAGCCGATATCCCCCTCTTTAGGGTAGACGTCCCAGCGTCTAGTTATCGAATCAGGTTTCTCGCCGAGTTTCCCCGGTCGGAAGCGAATGACCATATTAAATTGATGTAAAAATTCTGACCATCGGACCTGTCGGCATGTAAGAACCTTGGTAGTAGAGAAATACTCAAGATTCTTGTGATCGGTGACGACGTCCACCGGATCACCCGAACCTTCCAGATAATGACGCCAAGCTTTAAAGGCCTCGAAGATGGCCAGTAGCTCTTTGTCGTGGGTATCGTAGTTGAGTTCCGCCGCATGAAGCGTTCTGGAAAGGAAGGCTAGAGGATGAATTTCACCGTCAGCATATTGGATGGAAAGAATAGCCGCAATGGCATAATCGGAAGCGTCGGTCTCCACGATAAGTGGGCGATTCGGCTCCCAATGGGCCAGTATTGGCGCAGAAGTGAAAGCGATTTTGAGATTTTCGAAGGCCTCTTGACAGCTGCTGTCCCAGATCCAGGACGCGCCTTTTCGGGTAAGCCGAGTCATCGGCACAACGATATCACTATAATTATAAATAAAACGACGATAGAAATTTGCAAAACCCAAGAAGGACTGAATGTCCTTAACCTTCCTCGGGACCGGCCACTCTAGAACTGTCTGAACTTTCTCCTTGGACATAGTCAATCCGTCGGGAGAAAGAATGTAACCCAAATACTCAACAGTATCCATATTGAATTCGCACTTCTCGGGATTGGCGTAAAGCCGATGATGGCGTAACCGCCGAAGAACTTCCTTGACGTGTTCTCGGTGTTCTTCTGGCGTATCAGAGTAGATTAGAATATCGTCCAAATAGACGATGACACAAACATCGAGCATGTCAGAGAAGATGTCATTAACAAACCGCTGGAAAGCCGCAGGGGCGTTCGTAAGGCCGAACGGCATGACCTTCCATTCGTAAGAGCTGTAGCGGGTCCGAAAGGTGGTTTTCCATTCGTCACCTTCAGCGATTCTGACTAGATGATAAGCGTGAGCGAGATCCAATTTGGTGTATATTTTAGCTCTTTTCGGAGCGTCGAGAAGATCTGATATGAGTGGGAGTGGGTAACGATCCTTTTTGGTGATACAATTGAGTCCACGGAAATCGACGCAAAGGCGAAGTTTGCCGTCTTTCTTCGGGACAAAAAGGACCGGAGCGCCGTGAGGAGAGGATGATGGGGTGATGGCACCAGTAGCCAGCTGTTTGTCAATAAAGTCTTTAAGGGCAACTAGCTCCTTTTCAGACAAAGGGTAAATACGGCCGAGAGGCGGCGAAGCGCCTTCTTCCAAGTCAATCTTCAAGTCGTAAGGTCTGTGTTCAGGAAGAGAATCTGCAGCTATCTCGTCGAAGACGTCTGCAAACTCAGCATACTCGGCTGGGATGGAAGGAGGAAGTAGAGGGACAGTAGGAGCGGTGGAAGAGCGGTCGGCGGCGCGGG